ACTGGCTTCACCCCAAAGGATGCGAGAAAGCCGAGCAACGAATTAAAAGTTAAACTGCATTTAAATATGAATGCTAAACGAAATAGGGTATATCCTGAATTAAGTGTTGGTGATGAAGTTAAAATATTTAGGAAGAGGAAACCCAATGAAAAAGAACGTGTATCAAATTGGTCGCAAAATGTTTATACCATAGAAAGAATTGATGAAAAATTGGGCCAAAAATATTATTATGTTGAAGGTAACAATAGAGCGTATTTACGCTTTGAGTTGCTAAAAGTTTAATTTTTCTTTTGATAAAAATTTTTCTTAAGAAAAACACCTAAAGAAATAACACCTATGTATATTAGCAGGGAAATGTTCAATTTTGAAAATTGTTGGAAGTGCGAAGAAATGAACAAAGTAGGAGTATTAACTAGCAAGTTACCGATTGATATATGTAATCGTGTATGCGAATATGACAAGTGCGATAAGTGTAGAAATAAGATTGAAGATATTGAAGATTTTGATGAAAGCCCCAAATTTTCAAAGTTAAACAAAGTGCAAAAAATAATAATACACTTGTTATATCGTAATCACAACATTGATACAATCATGGATAGGCGAAAATACAAAAACATCATCAAAAGATCAAGTAACCCACTGCGAAAGATAATGAAGCAGTTTATGAACATCAGAAACCATTCAGACGACGAACGTCTGATGTTTCACGGTGTATGTCATGTGATGCTATTGTATCGTGTCATTCACAGTTTAACCTATATAGAAAAGCTTAAAAAGGAAATCGCATATTATAAGATTAAAACCGCTACTATAAGATCTAACGGCTTTGAAATTAGTAAGGAAGATATAGTAAAGGAAATAATACGCGAATGTTTTGATTTTTGGTTGGTCGGTTGGAAGGATCATTATAACACCACAACCGAAGAAATTATGGAGTATGTAGAGTATGTGTTTTCGTTGGCATAAAGCAACTATAACACTGTTAATATTATAATGTTATTGTTGGTGACCATCCTAAACCCCAAAAATTCACTACACCCAAGTTGTCAAACTTGATTTTTGTGTTTTTGTTGTTTTCTGCTTGTTTGTGTATGGTGTTTTCCAATGCTTTTGTTGCGTTTTTGCCGTTTTTTATCGTTTTGAAGCATCCTAAACCCTAAAATTTCACTACACCCTAGTTGTCAAACTTGATTTTGGTGTTTGTTTGTTTTCTGCTTGTTTGTGTATGGGTTTTTCCAATGGTTTTGCTGTGATATTTGTGTGTTTATCGTTTTAAAACCGTTAGGTTTCAAAATTTGGGGCTTATTGTTTTCTGTATTTTTGTTATTTATTGTCTATTTTTGAAATATTTTTTATGTATTAACCAAGGCACTGGTGGAGGTAGAGGTGGAACTGGTCGTAGCGCTCGGTGTTGTAGTGACCGAGGATGCGTGTAGCTCCTCGCGCAGGGGGGAGTGGGAGTAGGTGGGTTTAGGGGTTGTGTAGGGGGAGTTGGTGCGCCCTCACAGCTGACAGCTTTTCGTCTGGGAGTGCTGCGCGGCGAGAATTGGCGATGGTCTTTGGTTGCCCAGTCTGTGCTGTCTCATGCCACTAAACTAGGGGGGTTGGCAAACCCATACGGGTGGGATTGGTGATCCCCGAAGCCTTGTTTTTGGGATTGGTGATCCCCGAAGCCCTGTTGAATGGGATTGGTGATCCCCGAGACCCTGTTTAGTGGGATTGGTGATCCCTGAGACCCTGTTTAGTGGATCGCATGTCCTGTACAGCAAGTTCTGGCATTGTGTTTCGCACCGGGGTGTGCAATTCATGCCAAATCTACGCAGCTACTCACTTGAGGTCGCTGCAACTCGGAAGTCTTAGGAGAATGCTGCAAATCAGTGCTGCGGCGGCGGACCAACGAACCCTCCTGTCATCGTCGCAACCGGGTTGTCATCACCATCTATGACCACGACTGTGTGGGGGACGTGTCCATCTGCCTCAGGGTGCAGAAGACACCAACAAGCCAGTGATTCAGCATTAAAGGTTTGAGTTTACCCACACCTGCAAGTAGCACACTGCCATCGCAACAGCGATGCCCAGAGGTGGGTGTCCTCCGCACACGAAGCCGCGGCTGACAAGCTTTGGGTAGTGGATGACCTGATAGCACATGTTTACTTGGGCTGATGTTCAAAGCGACGCTGGTACTGGCAAGCTATTTTCGCAGTCAACTAAGCTGGCGGCTGTTGATAGCTGATGAATGAGAACTTTGAGGTCATTAACCACGTCCCTCGGCTTGGCAGTCATCCCTGACTGTCGAGTGATATTCGTGAACAAAGCTCTTCCTTGTTTTGTCAATCCCTTGCCAGCCACGAGCTTTGTCTTGAGCTTCTCGTATGCACCCGAGAGAGTATTTCCTGGATCTCTGTGGAGGAGGCCGCTCTCGACCAAGAAGCGGTTACACAACACTGCAGCTGTGCGCGTCTTGACAGTCAACCTTGGTTACAGCAGAAAATCTGCACCCGGCACATGGAAATTATGATGGCTTTGCCAACGCCGGAAGCAACGCTAGCCGCTAATGAAAGGTTGATACTCTTTTCTGACCATGGAGCAGCTCATCTTGCAGCGAGAGAGTCCGCGCTTGAAGCGCAGAACAGTTTATGCTGAACTCCCGCGCCTTTGCCAGCGCCTGTTCCTCCCGCACCTTTGCCTGTTCCTCCCGCACCTTTGCCTGTTCCTCCCGCACCTTTGCCAGCGCCCTGTTCCTCCCGCATGCGCGCAACGTAGTCGGTGACTTCAAGGATGGCATCTAGCGACGCACCCTGCCCAACCATGTTTCGGGCCTCCTGGCTGGGTGTTAGCCTCGCGTGCCGCACCACTGTGAACAGCGGAACATTCAAACCACAACGGGTCATCAAGGCGAATATGGCGAGCATGGCTGGCAAGCGAGCCATGCTGGCACTGCGCTTCACAACAAAACGGTCATTCGTGTGTGTGTTGCCGGTATGTGTTGCCAGTTTGCCTACTAGTCTCCCTGCTGGATCTTTCTAGAACACACCTACACCAAGTGTATCTGATGACTCCGCCACTGTGTTATACAAATGCGACAACCTTTGATGGACAGATACAAAAACATGAACAGTCGTGGGATTGCTCGTGCTTCCACTGCCGGCGCATTCAAACCAACCCTTACTGCAAACTCATAGCCGGTCCTCGTTGTGTTTGTTGTGGTCGGCGTTGACGTCATGGTCGGGTTCAACCAAAGGACTGTCGCTGACTGAAAGTTGGATGACCAAATATACAACCCTTAACCCTAAACCCTGAACCAAATTATATGAGAAGACCATTCCCGTTTTGGGCTATGGCACTTGGATAGATAGGAGTATTGGGGTTCTAGAGTGGTATTGGGGTCGGAATCCTAGGGTGTGGGATTGGCAATCCCCTGCGGATGGGATTGGCAACCTGCTATGGGTGGGATTGGCGATCCCCGAAAACCTGCTTTTTGGGATTGGCAACCCGTTATGGGTGGGATTGGTGATCCCCGAAGCCTTGTTTTTGGGATTGGTGATCCCCGAAGCCTTGTTTTTGGGATTGGCTTAACCCTTAACCCTAAACCATGAACCAAATTCTACAAGAACCCCCTTGCCTATTTAGGCCAATAATGCCACCTTAGGGATAATAGATTGGGTAATGGTTATTCCTAGAATTGTATTGATAATGGGGAAGTAGTAGTGATATATCGGTGAAATGTAGGGGGGATCCTAGGAATGATCATCTAATGGGGGAAGTAGTAGTGATATATCGGTGAAATGTAGGGGGGACCCTAGGAATGATCATCTAATGGGTTGGCGGTGGCATTATTAGCCTAAATAGGCAAGGTACACTCTGACTTAAACTACCCCCTAGCTCCCCCCTTCCTCAACCTCAAGGAAACCCTAAACCCTAAATAACGTAATCAGGGGGGGAACCTTGAGGGACGCAGTAGAGGGGGCTGAGGGTTCAGGGTTTAGGTTTAGGGATTAGGGGTTTAGGGATTAGGGGTTTAGGGTTTAGGGGTTTAGGGGTTGAGGGTTTACGGCTTTTTTTCGTATTCAAGGCATGGTGCAGCGCTTGGTGAGCGGTGCGCTGAGTGAAGCGCCAACGAACAGCGCCAAAAACCACCTTGTCATCCATGGTTCAAACTGTTGATACTGAAATTCCTGCATGACCTTAGTGTACCATATCCTTAAACCTAAACCCTAGACATAACACCAAACCTCTCAGGTATAAGGTACCTAGGGTCATACAGGCAGGTTTTTGAGCATCGACTGTAGGGTTCCTCAACCGCCCACTAAAAGGTGAAATTACCCGGTTTAGAGTTTAGGGTTTAGCCTTTAAGGCATGGAATTTAAGGTCTAAACCACAGGACTTCATGTGCTCAGGTCCAAGCTGCCGAGGTTTAGACATTGTTGGGGCGGGGGCTCACGCGTCGGAATTCGCGGTTGGTCAGGTTCGGGCGACCCTCCAGGGTACTGTATGTGTTAACTATAGAAGGAACCTTGGACCCTGAAAATTGGGGTTTAGGGTTTTTGGCAAAAAAACTGCTGCGAGGATCATGAGGGTGAATGAGGCTCCAAGCCGCGTTCAGCATCCTAACCGCCCGTGTGCCCAGTGTGGGGAAGGGGACACTTTCCCTGAGGGTCCAAGGACCCACATAATGGGGTTCCAGGGCCCAAATACCATTAAGATTATAGCATTTGGGCCCTAAAACCCTGTTGTTTGGATCCTTGGACCCTTAGGGTTTCAAAGCCCATGACACTGCAAAGCCGAGCAACACAGCCCGGCAGAGAGAAGCGTTCGCTTGCTCCATACCTCGACAGATCATGGGATTTTGGGTTCCCCAAGCCACAACACCCTACACCCTAAACCAGGTTAGGATTTTGATCTAGGGTAAACAGAATCAAAGAGCACTCTAAAAGGAGCCCTAGGAGGGTAAGTGCTCTTTGATTTCTTGGGTTTATATCCCTACTATGGTCATAAAATCCTAACCTGCCCTAAACCAGGACTCTGTTCAAGTCATATGATCCAGCAGTAAGTACAGGGCCCTAGCTTTGGAGGGTGGGGTTACCTAAAGCCCCTTGTCATAAGTATCCCAACATATACCTTAATATTGTGGCTTCGTTTTGTCCTTTGCATTATTCCGCATATAACCCCAAAAATGCTAATAGTAGTACATTAGTAATAGTAATAGTAATCGTAATAGTGATAGTAACTTGTCATATCAATCCGCTCGGGCGGAGCGTTTGGATTTCAGCTGGGGGGCTGTCAGAATCATGGTTCCTTGTTTGGGTACCCCAAGCTATAGGGACTTCGAAAGGAACACCTGATATTAGGAAACCCCCACATTGGAGGGTATAGGTAGGTTCAGGACCCTAAACCCCAAAAGCCAGTTTCGGGTTTAGGGTATAGCGGGGGGGGGAGGGGGCGAACTCAAACGTGCATTGCGTGCTTAGGGCCTCTTTAATTAACCCTAAAACCTAAACCCTGAACCCTAAACTTCTTGCAAGCCTTTGGGCTTCCTTGGATGCTGATTTTGCCATGAAGAAGGATTTTCAAAAAACAAGGGATGGTAAGGGTTCGTGGTTTATGGAATCGTGTGCTACACCCCTCCCCATACTAGCCCCCCCGTAGGATCCACCTTAAATTGTGATTAACTAGTGCTAAGTAAAGGGAACCCGTGAATGTTACGCTGAATCCATGCCTGAACCCCGCAACTGCGAGGATGGGTCTTTAAACATGACGTCCTGAAATACTAGCACCTGAAACCCCCAAACCCTAAAACCTATAAACCTTAAAGCCCTCAAAGCAAGGGCCCTAGGCGCTAAACCCATAAGCCCTTGAACCCCAACCCAAAAACCCAAAGCTTTAAACTCCCTAGAACCCTGAACCTGAAGTCCTCCAAACTCCTAAATCTCTAAACCGAAAGCCCAAATCCCTACCTAAACCCTAAACCCTAAACCCTAACCCATGTACCTCCAGCTTTATGGGCTACTCAAGCAATCAAGCCTAGCATCCAACTCTTACGCGGGAATTTAGGAATAGAGAGGGGTTAGGGTTTGGGCTTGGGGTTTAGGGTGTAGGGGATGTATAGGGATGATCAACAATTCATGTTTTCTGGATTGGAGAGGTAGCCATGCAGTTCTCCAGCTCTAAAATCTAGATCGGCAGTAGTACTACTAGCAAAACAACAAGGAATAATTCTTAGAAAAAGAAAGTATAGCGGAACATACGAGTAGCAATCATGGTAGCCATAAGAATCACCGTACGAAACATAACTATGATGACAACAATGAGAATGATAACAATCCCATCAAGAATCAAAATAAGAATACCCCCAATTTCAAGACTTCAAGGAAGTGCACATCAAAGTCCGCAGGCAACAAATCCTGTGGCATTCCCCAAAACAGTCCCTACGTACTTAAGGTTCGAGAGTGTAGGGTTTAGGCTTGGGTCTAGGGTTTAGGATTGCAACCCTAAGCCCCAAACCCTAAACAACAACATGCAAAGCCAGGAGCCGAGGAAGGACTGCAAGTACATCGTCGACAGGCCCCTGGGCACACACGGACCGTTTCTTGCGGTCGCCCATCCCAGACCCTAAAGGCCCAGGGACTCAAATAATGGCTCTAAGGGATTTGGAACCCGTTGAAATTATAATTTCAGCTAAATATTAGGATTGTTGGTAACAGAAATTAAAAAATGATTTTCAGGATTTTTGTAGATAGGGCTTTAGGGCCCAAATACCATAATATTAATGGTATATGGGCCTTAAAACCCTACTATTTGGGTCCTTGGACCCTTAGGAAACAAATATGGAACCCCGACACATGGAGCATTTCTTGACTCAAAATACGGGGATCCTGTTTGACTAATTGTAGATGTGTTTTTTCAGAGCCCAGTGCTTAGCTGCTTGGCCAATTTCTTCAGGCTTCAAGATCCGGGTTCCCCAGGGTTTTGAGAGTTGAAATGCCTGGCTTGATCAAAGCACTGGATCCCACGCAAATTTCTTTAAGGCCTCGACAAACATTTGAATTTGATGTTCTTTGTACTATTCCAGTATCAAACTGTATAAAACTGTCAGTGATGATGGATGTGCATAAGGATTTATGAGCGACACGTACAACATATTGCGTCTGGACACTTCTCAAATACAAACATCATGAACCCACCCTACTCGGACGGACGCCATCATAGGCCATTTGTTACTTCCCATGTCCCTTTGGGCGGCATGGCTTCAAGGCAAACATGTGCAGTGCTACGGTGCAATGCCATGGTTGGGGCTCGCAGAAGGCACCAACGTGACGTGAACTTGTGCCCACGGCACACCTACTGTAGACCCATGATTAATAAACCCCGTCGTTTCAAGGGCCTTAGTAGTAGGATCCCTATTACAATCCCTACTTAGGGGAGGGGTTTTATTAATCACACGGCTGGGTTATATACCTCGGAACCCGCTGCAACTCGCAAAGCTCAGAGCCAACCGATCTGCAAGCTTTAGAGGCCTTAGAATGACATTGCATGCATCCCTCGCTGTTTGTCTGGATTGCTACCCCTACTGCATGAAAGCCCCATACGGATTGTCATCTCCCCCACATGGTATGATCTACTTCAAGGAAGACGACAAGCCCAGTGCTCGTAAGTTTGAAGAATGCTCGAAAGGCTCAACAACTCTAAGCTACATCAATCCAGTCCAGGACTCATGAGAGCTATGACCCTGACTCTTCCCACAAACCCTGGCATGTCGGGTAACATAAATTTCCTTAACAAATCTTACGTCTTTGATTGATTGCTGGTTGCAAAGGCTGACTGTAGCTTGCGTGGCGGGTATAACTTACAGACCCAGAGAGTCCACATACACAACTATTAGGGAATTAGGCCCCAAAATACCATGCCACAGAAGGAATTATGGGTCCCAATT